GGCGGCGGCCGGCGCTGCCCCACCACACGCCGCACACCCGGCGCCTGCACTGCCTGCTCCTTCTGTCTGTGCCGCGGGGCCATGGGCTGCGCTCGCCTGCTCCTGCTCCTGCTCCTGCCGCTCGGCTCAGGTAGGCAGGCGCGGGGCTTCATCGCTGCACCGGCCCCCGGGGAAGCCTGTTTGGGCGCTGGGCTCTTCCCCCTTTTTCCTGCAATTTCTTCTCCGCTTGGGATCGAGGTGCAAGACCCCCGCAGCGAGCGATGGGCGCGGGCAGGGATGGAGGAGCAGGTCCCTGGGGTGTGCCGTGCCTGTGCAGGATGGGGTGGGGGACGCTTGGCAGCCTGGCGACTTGTCCCTCTGCTTCGCGGGGGGATGCTGCCTATGGCACAGGGATGCCTTCACCCTTTTGTATCGTCTATGCCAGCGATAGTGATGCCCAGCGCTAGCCTGAGGGACAAAATGCAGCCCTGGCTTTGAAGACATAGTCCGTGCTGCTGGCGGCGATGCCCAGGGCATGTACCTTAGCAATGCCTAGCGCTAGCCTGAGGGACAAAATGCAGCCTTGGCACTGAGGGCGTAGTCTATGCCAGTACTGGTGATGCCCAGAGCATGTGCCTTGGCAATACCCAGCGCAAGCTTGAGGGATGAAATGCAGCCCCGGCACTGCAGATGTTGATTTGGGGCTTGGGGGTGGTTCTGTGCTGCCGTGATTCGGGTCTGCTTGTGCCATGGTGTCCAGCGAGGAGGTAGGCAGGCAGGCAAGGTTCTTTGGGTAGATGTGATCTCTTTTAGTAGACCAACAAAATAGTTGGAAAAAAGTTTGTTACAAGCTCTTGCGCACAAACACCCTTCTGCAGGCAGAGGGAGGCTTTGCAGTTGTTTTGTGCTCTCCTGGATGGGATAGGAGCCAGTATCTATCCCACTCCCTCCCGCTGGCTTTCTGAGCAGAGCCCACAGGAGAGGCTGGCCCCCCGGGTGTGTGTAACTCAGTGCCCAGGATTATGCCCCTGCTAACCCTCTGCTCTGTCCCTCTCTCCCCTGCAGCTGTTGGTGCTCAGCTGGGAGCCGAGAACGGGCCCTCTAGTGCCCCCTTGCCACTGCGCAGGGCCAAGCGCTGCTCCTGCTCCTCTTTGATGGATGAGGAGTGCGTCTACTTCTGCCACCTTGACATCATCTGGATCAACACGCCGCAGTAAGTAGGGGAGCCGAGGCAGTACTCCCTAACCTCTCCTTCACCCGGAGCCTAATGACCCTGGTGGGAAGCCAGTTACCATAGTTACCTTTTACCCATCCCGCTGGAAGGGGGCACGGGCAGTGTCTCACGGAGGCAGTGCTGCCATCGGCTAATGCTTCAGCACCGTGAGTGAGAGGACACGGCTCCCTGGGATACAGCTGGACTGTTAACTATACCGTCCAGTTAAAAGGCTCTTTAGTCCAGAAGAAAAGCCATGCAATAAACCCTAGGCTTTTTCACCCTGTGCTTTACACTGTCTGGGGGGGGTGGGGAAGAGGATGTAAAAAGCCATGCAGTACTTCAGAGGAAGATTGAGAGGGAGTTTTAAAGAGGGGTAAGAGACTCACGATTAGGACAGCACATTTACACAGATTTCCCTGTCCTTTGGGAATATATAGCCCAATCTGGTTTATGTTTCCATCAGGCCTTTCACTAGGGGAGGCTCTGTGGGGAAAGCATGTGAGATTTTACTACAGAGATGAAGCAAGTTGCTTTTAAGAGTAGGCACAGCAGCTCTAAAGCTTCCACTGTTCCTAAAGTCCTAAAGTATAACCAAATATGTGCTGTGTTTTGGTTCAGTGTGTCAATGCTATAAAATATTTTTCATTGAGAGGGACAGGACACAGCGTAGTGGCTTGATTCAGCTAATCTTTACTTACTATGAGTAGTAATTTACTCTGTGAATCACCCCAGTAGAGGGAATACTGTACCAAAAGGATTATAATTATGCTTGGGGATAACCTCATGAGTTCTTAGTAGCAACTATTATGCATTAACACACTTTGTAGATTAGCGAGGATGTGTGCAATGCATAAAATATTTCATTTTTTACACTTTACTCACCAAGGGGCAATATGGGGCCATATCCTCAGCAGGTATAATAAACATTGGCTTTGAGGCTATGCCCACTGACACTAGTGAAAGAGCTATTCCATCTTTTCTTTTTGTGTTTGCAATTTACCAAAGTCCAAATAGGTGAGGTTTTATTGCACTCAGTTGCACACTCAGAGTTTCAATATCCTTCTAGAATTATGACCAAAAAGCAATTAATCATGCAAGTAGACACTTTAATCAGCATTACTGTAGGACTGTCAAAAACGTTTACATGGAAGTTGTAACCAATTATAACCAGCCAAGATTAGACAGAACATCCTTCATTTTTGAGGCCACAAATTAAATTATTTGGTTCTTTGATCATAGGAAAACTGTGCCATATGGACTTGGAGGTCCTTCTCGAGCCCGGCGATCTCTGAAACACTCAGTCTCCGGAAAGCTTGCAGAATCAAACAACCGATGCCGATGTGCCAACCAAAAAGACAAGAAATGTCTGAACTTCTGCCAGACAGGAAAAGAACTCTGGTATGTTATTGTATTTGTTATTTTAATCAGCTGTGAACTGCAGTAATAATAAAGGAGCCATTCACTCAGGTGAATAGTCTCTCTGAAATCTAATCCCATGAGTTCTCACCAGTGCTAATAAGGACAGTGCATTTTAACCCAGCAGTGGCCATCTGACATTTCCTAGAAGGGGGATCATATCAAAGTGTCACCAGATAAACTGAAGGCTTTGCACATTTGTACACACGCTTGTGCTACAGCACTGGGCACTTCTAACACATTAACACATGCACATAAGAGGTCTTTTAGTTCAAAAGTGCACTGCCACCATTTTCTCAGTGCTGATGCACATTTCACCATTTAAATAAATGCATGCAACAGAGGACCAGGCACATCAGCTCACGTGCAGAGCAGGTTCAATTAATCAAGTCTGTTTCGACACAGTGGTAGCAAACAAAATGTATGTGTATAAATGCTGTTTGTTTTTAACAGCTGGTTTGTTTGTTTGTTTTTCTTTGCTGTAAACAGGGCTCAGTCCACAATAGAGAAGGGTTGGGATCATCTCAACAAAGGTGAAGGTTGTAGAGGACTGAAGTGCCTGCACAGAGAACTACTTAACAGCAGGAAAATGAGAAGGTGAGCTTCCTTATGCAGTACTGAACTGGTTGATGCCACGATGGCTCAAGTATGCAGAGAATATACATTGACTTGAGGGGAACAGAATTGTAAGTTTAGCTGTTGACTTCAGCTGAGGGCAGGATGGAGTCCTGAATCAGAAGTGAGGCTGTTGCTCATCCATATCTTGCAGAGTCAAACTTACTGAACTCTGTATAGTTTCCCACACTTGCTCTGGACTTGTAACAACTCCAGCCTGAAACAAGCTTGAGAAATTTTTAAATATTGACAGCAACAGAACTTGATGTTTTAATGTGCTCATGAATTATTTCATCTGGTAAGATGAGAAAATGAAATGCATTCAGAGTCACATTTTATGCATAAAATGCAATTTCTTGAATTGTGACAGTTTTACCCCAAAATGTAAATAACTTTCTATGTTCTGGACAGCGGTGTTGGCTTCGTTGTTTATCTAATATGCTTATTTTAAAGTAAGGGCAAAATGTAACCATTTTAAATGATGCATGAGGAATAGGGTAGGGAGAATAAAGCCGTTGGAGTTAAAGCACTCATTTGAAGGGTGGGTAGCTCATCTTTAAGTCTCTGGTCTTAGTTAGGTCAAGTCAGACTCGAATTTGGATCACCCAGATCTCAAGTGGGTGTTTTTACTATCACACTGCTCAAACAGTGAAGGGGTTTTATTTTGACCATAAATTCCAGCTGGGGGAAAGTTTTGGTTCTGACACGCTGGTCCTTTCTAATGAGAAACCGCATTGTCAAAACGTTCTGGACCAGCTCAACTTCTCTTCAGAATAGGGACATGCTGGAGCCCAGAGCAGCTGTTTGCAGCCTCCCAGCTACAGCTGGTCTACAGAGCCTGGTCTGCTTGCAGCCTCCCAGCCACCTGCTGGAAGCAGCCTGGGCTCCGTGGCTGGCAGCAGCTACTTAGAGCCTGGGCTGGAGGTGGTGTGCCGAGCAATGGCCTTGTGTGCTATGCTCGGCACACATGCCGGGGGTTGCTGACCCTTGTGCTAGTCTAAATTGAGTTTTATTTAACCAAAACTCTGTTTGCACCCACACATACATACACAGTTTGTTTTAATGGTTATGATAACATTTGGTATTTTTCCTGTTTTCACAGACTAGAGGCCATTGGTAACAATATCAAAACTTCCTTCCGGATTGCAAAGCTAAAGGCTACACTCCACGAAGTGAAACAGCTGAAGCATAATAGAGCACATGGAAGGCAAAACAGCTGGGAAAGTCAGAAAACATCCTAGTGGGGAGATCACCTGCCCTTTTCCTCTATCACTACAAGTTATGGACAAAGCATTGCTGAAACTCTGTTCTGCCTTTTAACAATCTACTCTGGCAAAGGCCCAGGATATGTCACTCCAAATATTAAAGCAGCAAAATTAAAAGCTGGAAGAGAATCTAAAGAAATCTTCTATTTGGATAATAAAGATGTAGCATCTCATCTTTCTGGAATCCAAACTGATGGGTTACATGGGAGACGGAGAAGTCCTCATTAACAAACTTTTTAATTTGAGGGCTGACTTTCCAAAGGAGGAGTGGAACATCTGAATGTTGCTTCTGAAGAGAAGACATAAAAGGGATTGTTATAAATGAATGTGGCAGATTTCAGGGAGGAAAAAAAAAGTATGCCAAAAGATGTTGCAAGAAATACCCAATACAGAAGAAGATAAAAAGCACGGAAATCAAGATTTGAAAGGAGAGACATTAATTTTTTTTTTCTTTTTAATTAAAATGCAAAATGAAAGACACTGTTACTTTAATCAGGACTTCTTGCATATATACAAGTCTACCTCTCGTACTTTATGTTGCACTCTGCTAAAATACTTTTACACCTTATTATTGCCTTTGCTTATCAAATGCAACCCTTTGCCTTTTTCAGAATCTTGGTTTGCTAGTATAAGCACAGCTATCTAAATGTCCTATGTGAGTGAAACACTGTTATATGGATAATCAGGGTTTTGGATAGCGAAAGGAATTTTCAACATAAAACACAATGGGAAACACTACTTTTGTTTAACATAACAGGATAACGAGGTCTAATAATAGAGACTGTACTGTCTTGTATGCTGTCAGTAATCTACTGAACCTCCTCTATAACAGAAACGGTTGCAAGATGAGGATTTCTTCAGTGTCTCGCTTGATAAAGTGCATAGAGACAAAGGGTTCATTTAAAATTGTCAAAAGGCTAATATTGGGTGAATGTTTCTAGCAGCGAATTTATTCACATTGTTGAATTTGCTAACTGGTGTCTGATTTGAATTTTATTTGCTTATATTTATATTCATGCAAATTATTCATTATATTTACCATGTTGAATATGCATTTAAGCAGGCCATATTGGTCTATGCAGGTTTTACATATTTCTGTATGAAATTGGGAAATGCTTCCTGCCTGTCAAGGTAAATATCTCTTAGAAATAAATATTTTTAACTACTGAATTGATTTTGGTTTTTTAAGGTGTCCTGATTTTATTTCCCCCCCTCCCCTTCGGTTGACTTGCGTAGGCTAGAGGTGACAGGTGTGTGAATAAATAGTCTATCCAAAAAGATTCAGCTTGCTCTCTCAAATTTAAAGCAAAAGCTCCCCTCTGATTTTTATAATGGGACCTTGAAACAACCCTGTAGGAGTTCACAGGCAAGATGGATTAATAGTCCATACTTAGCATTTCCCAACATCTTTTGCTAAATATGATTTTACATTTGAAAGGATGCTTAGTTCAGATACTCCAGAAAATCAAAACATGAAAATTACTTTCCATTTCTATATGGAAAGAGAAATAAAACCCATCAAAACTTTTCAAACAGAACTTTGTCTTAAAAATAGGCCTTTGCAATTAATACATTATCCAGAAAATCTATAGTTTAGAAAACCCCAAACTTTTTGCAACACTTGCATATTCTTCTTGGGAGTTATTTGCTTGAGGTATATCTGGAGGAGAGGATCTATGCTGGAATGATAATATACTGGTACATGTTGGGTGTGCCTACACACTCATTAATGTGCCTTAGATACTGCACATTTAGTTTGGTACATGCTTAATAAAGTGCCAACTAAATGCACAGCAAGTGGAGTTACTGTGCAGTAGCGCCAGCACACAGTCATTTTGTGACACAACTGCATATTAGCCTAATAATAATACTGCTCGGCCTATTAGCACGGTTTCTAACCACCACTGCGCAGTGTTAGGCTTATGCACAGTAAGCATCTCATATAGATGCATCCTATATGTGCTAGAAGCTGTTGCCTCCTTGTTAAAGACACAGGGCCTACTTTGCCTCTTGGTCACACAGGGAAATGTTCACTGAAGCCAACAAGGAGTGCACTGAAACGAAAGGAGAATTTGGCCAACAAAATTACAAGCTAATTACAAACCAGACTTTTCAGAGAGTGCTCTGAACTCTGATAAAGGCTGCACCTTTGATCTCCTGTTTTAAATAGAATAGCCTCTCTAACTGCTTTAACATAGCGGATTTGGTGACCTTTGTCAGACGTGAGGAGACCTCATTTAAGTTCCTCCTTTTCTAGCAATTGACCCGAGTTGTAAAGGAAAATAAATAATAGCCTGGGTTACTCTGCTTCCCGAGCTTTATGGCTTAAGTGAAATGCAAATATACACCATGTTCAGCATGGCCTTCCACAAGACCAGCATTATGCCTGGTGATATTCTAGCCAATAATGCAAAGGTCTGAACTGAGGCATATAAAATAGACTAGGATCAGTGGAAGGTATAGCCTAGCCTTCATTGCAGGATGCAGAAAGGGTAACTTGGGAAAAGAGAGAGAACAGCTAAGTCAACATTTTGGAGTAAAACAAATTTATGTAGTTTACTTGGTCTGAATTTTGGGGGGACAGGGCACACCTCTCAAATGGCAGCTACTCTGGAAACATTAAAACAGAGCAGCAGCTCCCCTAAGATAAAGGCTGAGAGTTGCTCATTCTTTAGTAAATGACTATCCTAAATGCTCTAAAATCCTATTGCTGACCAAGACTCCTCTTCTTTCCAAATTGACCTTAGCTCCTCATGATTTATTTCAGTAAATGCCCTGTGTATGCTGGACATTTGGCAAAAGGAAAATTTCCAGAGCCATTCATGATAACATTAAGAGCTCTGTGTTTAATTGAGGCTAATTTACATACTAAAGAGACTGAAATACACCTGTGCAGCTTTATGTAGCTGAACTTCATGTTCATTTTGGAAAAGCACAAGGCTACATGGCAACATCTTAACAGTTTTAAGCTTGACAGGAAGCCTCTAGCACCTGTTACATTGAGTAGGCGTGAAGGCAGCATTAGGTGGCCTCAAGAATGCTAGCAGCTGAATGGGTGCCAACAAACAGGCACCCGAAGGGTGCTAATGAGAAACCCCTGGGTCCAATTAAAGTATTAGAGGGCATATGACTGAAAGGTGGTGGAGGCCAGGGCTCTCTATAAGCCTGACTTCTGAGCTAGAGTGGATATTTGGGCTCTGGATACAGGAGAAAAAGAAGCTTTTTAAAAGCTGCTATGATGCTGTCACTGTCTGCAATGGAGAAGGAGTAAGAAGGATCTTGTGTGAGTATCCTAGAAGGGACTGGTGCTTCTGGGCTGGTGCCAAGCAGTAGGTGAGAAACCTTAAACTAGTTGGAGAAGTGGAGAGAGTCTTGGGGAAAGGCAAACCCTAGGCTATGTGCAAAAGAGGGAAGAGCCTTATGAAAGGGTGACCCCCAAGGTCTTGTGAAGTATTGATTGGCAGTCTTGAGGCATGGGGTGGTGAGTAAGGGGTGAGCAGAGGCTGCTAGGGGTGCTGGGGTGAGGGTGCTATGTATTGCCTCTTTCTGCAGAGTGTAGTAGTGCTAGAGAACCACTTGAAGTATCCAGCAGAGGGTGCTCCATCACACAGAAATTAGGGTAATTGGGTGTCTGAGCCCAGGGGTGACACTGGAGACAAGGTACGTGGGGCCAGGGTCCTGGTGAGGTGAGAAAAGGCTGATAAGGAGTGGCCCAGAGGACTGTGCAAAAAGGGGAAGAAGTGCTGGAGGGGGTGTCACTCCCTGGATGACTGTGGGCAGAAGCCCAGAGAACTGTGCTGACGGGGAGGCACACCCTTGAGGACTATGTTGAGGGGTAGAGAAGCGTAAAGAAACTACTCCAGTTTCTAAGGGCAGTCTCCAAAACTTATCCTGATATTGAAAACTGATTGTGTGGGGGAAAAACAGAAGGTGACAGAGGCTGGAGCCCTGTAGGGCACAGCAGGTAGATCTAACTGCCAGAGGACAGCAGGCCCTGGGGTTGGGGCCCTGATCCTGCTACACAAGGCAGCCATTATCTAGCTGTTCCTAAGATTAGATGCACTGAAAATGACTTTCAGGTTAAATCGGATATAAAAGGCTTTGCATCCACACTGCTATTATGAACTAAGTTGCTGGAATACGCTGTAGCATATGAAAGTTCATGCTTCTCTGAACAAGTTTATCTATAAGGTGCCACACTGCCCTACCTGCTGTCTGACTTCACACAAACATGGTTAACTCCCTGTGTCTATGCTCATGATAGGGTGATACACTCATGAACTTGCCTGAACAGGATCCCATGTTTCAACTTATGAAGGCAGTAGAACACTTTCCATCATCTTGCAGGGTTTTGGGGTCAGGCTGTTTGCTGGGCAGGAAAGCAGGATATTGCAGAAAGTCTATTCAACAAGAAATTCTGATGGTTGGATATTAACTTTTTGTTAATATCAAAAATACCAACTTAGTATTTTCCTTGCCATAACATGAGGGAGAGACCAGCCCAGAATAGCCAGTAATCCAGTGGTTGGAGAACTCACCTGGGTCATGTGATGCCCAGATATAGGCCCATGTCCAAGATTGGGCTTGAGCGTGGAGCTCCACGTCCCCTCCGTAGCTTGACGATTTGGACACTCAAACTCAAAAATAGTTTTCTCTTCTTTCCCTTCCACTGCCACTCCT